GCATAACAAAGTTTATTAAGAAAATGTTCTGCATCCCACTTTGGTGAGTGGCATCTGGGGTCTTAAAAGCTAGTGAGTGGCCGTCTAAGATGCATCAGTTTGTCCCAACCCACCTGGAGCAAAGGAGAATGAAGAACACTAAAGACAAGGAAAATATTCGCCCAAGAGATAGAAAGGACCACATAAACCAGAAACTCCATCAGCCTAAGAACAGAAGAACTAAATGGTGCCCAGCTATCACCAATGACCGCCCCAACAGGGAAGACAACAGAGAGTCCCTGACAGAACAGGAGAAAAGTGGGGTGCAGAACTCATTCTAGTGAGAAGACCAGACTTAATGGTCTGACTGAGACTGGAGGAACCCTGGAAAGCATGGCCCCTGGATTCTCTATCAGCCCAGAACTAAAACAATTTCCGAGGCTAACTCTTCCAACAGGGATTGGACTGGACTGTGGGACATAAAGTGATACTCGTGAGGAGTGTGCCTCTTAGGTCAAGTAGATACAAGAGACTAAACGGGCAGCTTCTGACCAGAGGTGAGATGGGAAGGTAGAGAGGGTTAGGAGCTGGTTGAATGGACACGGGGAATCGGGTGGAAAGGAGGAGTGTGCTGTCACAGTATGGGGAGAGCGGTTAGTGTCACATAACAGTGTATGTATAAATTTTTGTATGGGAAAAAATTTTAAAAAACGATGTATATGTAAATTTTTGTATGAGAAGCTAACTTGAGCTGTAAAGTTTCACTTAAAGCACAATTTAAAAAAAAGTGAGGATGGCAAAAAAAAAAAAAAAGTAGATACATTTTCTAAGTCAATACTAAGAACTTGGTTTCTTCAACAAACAGATATTTACTGAGTCTGTGTCATGTGCCAGACACAGTTCTAGGTACTGAAGACATTGCAGTGATCAAAGCTCATGCTTTTTTGAAGCTACATTCCAGTGGGCAGAGATAGACAATAAATTCAGAATATGAAACACTTCAGAATAAGGGGATAGGTTGGTAAGAGTAGCCCTTTCTCATAAGGTGACATTTGCACTGACTCTTGAAGAAGCAAAGGAAGGAGCCACATGAGAGGGGACACCAGGAACATGATGTGAAGCCATTGGAGGGCATGTATTTGACCCCATCTTGCCACCTTCAGGTCTAACCATGCTTCTTTGTGTTTCAGAGGCTCCTCTGCAGAAGGGCAGTTGAATGGACTCCAGAGCGGTCTAAACTCTGCAGCCTTTGTGCCCATCACCAGCTCCACAGGTTAGTGGGCACCAGGGACAGCAGGGAGGGCCCTGGGCCTGGGCTTGGCACATTCTCTCTTCTGCCTCAGAAGAGAGTTCCAGTTCAAAGAACGAAGTATCCAGGCTTTTAAAATTGGCAAATGGGCATTTTTCTTACATTCTTTAAAATGATATTGACAGGTTAGGATAGTATGATTTTCTGAAACTAGTTTGGGGTAGATGAATTTCCCAGTCTGATAGAATGCTGTAGAGTGCTACCAGATTTGCAGCATTTCATAAGAATATCCTCTATTTGACTGGTGTTTCACTGTTTATGTAGTATCTCAATCCTCACAGCAGCCCTGTGAGGTGGATCTTCTTGTCCCCCAGATGAGAAAACTGACACTCAGGAAGTTGAGGGGCTTGTGGGAGGTGACCATGGATACAGAGCACAAGCTTAGGTCTTTGACCTAAGTCCTTTCATGCTAACTTCATGGTTTTTCAACAGGTAGTTACTGAGGGCCTAACGCCTCACAGTTCAGGTACCTACATAGAAGTTTGGCAATGTCCAGGGATAGTTGACTATGAGTTAATAGTTCATAAAATACACCAATCAGTAATCAGAAAGTTGGAAGAAAGTCACTCTGATTTAAGTTAACAAACATTTATTATTGAGCTCCTACTATGGAGAAAGGAGCATGCTGGGCACTGAGGTACCTACAGGGTGAAAAAGACAGTTCCCACTGCCAGGGAACTTACAGACTCCAGGAGATAGAATAGTCAAGAGGGAATGTGCTCCAGGGTGGGTGTAAAAACTTCTTGGGGGCAGTGTTTGACCTCCTCCAACCCCATAAGGGGGAAGGAGAACCAAGATCAACAGCACAAGGCTGACTCATGAGGTGGAGGCCAGACAATCCTCCTCACTGCCGTTTTTACTAATTCTAACACCAACCCTCCCCTACACAGCACTCTACTTCTCTGCTGGGTTTGATAATTCATTGCAATGGCCACACAAAACCCACAGACCATACTCAGGATTATGAGGTTTATTAGGGCAGTAACAGTTACGATTCAGGATCAGGATACAGTTCTTCCATCAGGACATCCTCTTCCCAGCTGTGCTCACAGGCATGCCTCTCCCTGGCCCTAGGCCTCTCCCCCTCTCTCTCTGTGTGCTGGGAGGCCCACCACACCATCTCCTGATGCTAGGTCTCTGCTGCGGGGTCTCTCCTGCCACTGCTTCTCATTGTCTTCGGGGTTACAGCTTGCTTGCATCTTGACTATGAATTAATATTTACTGGCTGTTGGTGAAGAGTCAGTCGTCCTGAATTTGATACCAACATAAAACCACAGAGCAAGGAGAAGTCATGCTTCTTTCTGGCTTCTATTATCTACATCTTTTCCCGTTTCTCCCTTAAGGTAACAAGGAGATTATTCTTCTCATCTTGTTTAGGTAGCATGTTATTTACTGTCATTGTCACAAAACGAATCTGGGCCTCCAAACTCCCTTGAATTTGTTTCTTCTCTGTGACTTTCCTGGTATTCCTGATCCTTAGTTAAAGAAAAACTGATGAACGTGACATAGGAAGGTTCAGGCACTTTCTATAGTTAAAAATAAACATTTTACCTTAGCAGTGTAATATAGTAACTAATCCTGTTATAGTTATTTACACAACTAGTAAGTAACTAACTACCTTTCACTCCAGTGTTTCAGCTGCAAATCATGTGTTTTCCTGTATTCTAAGTAGAGTTAAAGGAGTTATTCCAGGGATTCAGAAAGGTGTCCTATAAAAAGGAGAAGGTTAGGTTGTGAGTAGCATCCTTTTTATTTAAACCCACAGGAAGGAAGAGCCCCCATAATAAGCTGAAAGGTTTACCCATCTCGCTGGGACTTAGGAAGTTTATGCTTAGACAGGAATCCCTGAACTGAAAGGTATTTCGCCCGTTGGGTCCAGTTAATTCAGCTGGTTGAATATGACAGTAATTAGTCCATGAGAACAGCAAAAGTCTGCTCCCTGACCCCTTAACCCTTCCCTTAAGTCTGGCCAGCCAGGCCCTGAAGTTGTGTGCCTTTGTTCCTCCAGAAGTCTAAATGCAATAGTGAGTGGTTTAGGCCAGGGCACTACTGAAGAACAACCGAATCCATTCCCGCTGATGGTGGGTTGGTGGCATCCGTTTTATTGTGAGTGTTAAAAGAGACCATGAATGTGAAAGTTCCTAGTGGAGTGCCTAGAAATGAATGCTCCATGAATGTTACTTTTCCTTGACTTCCTTACCTCAGGCTCTATATTCTGAATTTGCTATGGAAGGGAAGACAGAGAGTCAGCAAATTTGGAAATTTGAGAAGGAGGCTAGGGTGGAGGCCTTTGGCTCAAAGCCAATGCCATTGGCCTTTCTTCTTTATTACCACGGTGTTCTTGAGTTCTGAAGTGATGGTGAACTAAAATAGCAGGGAGCAACAAATTAGATAACTGACATTTCTCTCGTGCTTATTTGATTGTGTAAACTACCATTATTGTGGGAGTCAGAAGCCCACAACAGGCTACCCTTAGCTTCTGCCTAAGTCTTTCAACTGTCTTAGAACCCAAGCCCCGCCCACCCACCCCCCACCCTTTTTTTAAGCTTTTATTGGTCTGTAGTTGGTGGAAGGGACCTTACCACCTTTTGAAAATTTAATGATGGACTTCATTAAAAGAAATGAGAAGCAATGACTTATCAAATGTTTATTGTTTCAGGCCCTGGGTAAAATGCATTTCAGCATTGGTGCTCTTTGTATAGGGATGGGGACAGCAGTGTGACTCTGCCTGCCCACTTCATTGTCTCTCAGAGAGACAACAAGGAAAAGAAACTTACATCAGTATGAAGTAAACCCAGTGGAGCTTAAACCTTGAGGATCTAGAAGTCACTTTAACATTACAGTGCAATTGTTTGCCTGGCAGTTCTCAGCAGAATGACCTATTTTCCACTACCAGACCCTTGTTCTTTTCACCGTGCATTATATAGTTGTTGGAGCTCCTGGGTGGATCTGGAGTATAACTGATTGAAAATAAAAAATAAATAAAACTGTTGAGACACTTGCCCTAGTGGAATTCCTATGCCCTTTGCTCTTCCCAAAACATTCTTCTCTCCCTGGGGCTGGAGGGGTAAGAATTTGAGTGGCTTACCCACTCTTACCCTGTTAGAAAGCAAGAGAGAGAGCATAGACTTGGTGTTTGGCAGAAAGTGAGGGTGGCAGCACCTGGGAGAAAGAATATCCTCTTAACCTAGTTTTAGGTTCTACCTCTTGTCCTTTTGGCCAAGATTAAATATAGTGTTAAGCAGGGATTTTTTTTTTTTTTTTTTCCATTTTTCAGGACCTTTGGAAGCTCCCCAAGTTATTTTCGCCAGATCAAAACCCTTGCCCACACAATCTGGAGCCCTTGCTACAGTTATAGGACAGAGAAAATCAAAGTCGGTGAAGTCAGGGCCAATTTAAGGTAACAGTAAGAATACGAGCATATCTTTTCTTTATTACTTGCCAACTTTATGCTGCAGCAATAGCCTTAATAGCTATCAAGAAAAGTAATCAAAATAACAATGAAGTTGGAACTTAATAAAACCAAAGCTCAGAAAGAATCTCCAAAACTCTGTAGGTCAAAGCTGAGTGCAACTAGCCTGCTTCTGAAGGTCCTACCAGTAGGTGGCACTGTAGCAGTAAGAAATTTCCCTACTATTATTAGAGACTTTTGTTTAAAAATATGGGAACTTTGAGGGAAATCAAAGAAAAACTAGACCCATGATTGAGTTATCACAAGTACATTGTAACACTATACTGGAAAGCATTATATTTAAAGGTCAAGTTGCAGTAGCCTTCAAAAAGATTGAATATTTATTGAAGAAGTCTCTTAGTCTAGGTAAGTAGTTTGTGAACTGGACTTTCAGATAATGAGAGGCAGGTAGGGAACAAAAAAAATTTTTCTTTTGGTGAAGTTGATGGATTAATTATGCTTTTTGTTGAGTTTTTAAAAATAAATATGCTGTAATTGGCAGTAAAACAAGCTATAAACCCCATCCAACCACGCATCCAATAAAAGCTGATACACTGAGGAAATGGCCTGCCTTGATCTTGTGAGGCTGTATACATACTTCACAAGCATTTTGTTGCAAGCTGTGGCATTCAAAACTTTCCAGATAATTCTATGAAACCTCAAGGCTTTGAGAATTTCCTTCCTCTTTGCTCTGCCCTCCACACTAAAGCACACCTGCTATGAGCTTAATACTCTTCTTACCTCTAGGGGAATATTTATAAACTTATTTGAGAAGCATTATTCATCAGAATACCCCAGGAGAGCAAAGGAGAGAGGAAAATTATTTACCCACCACAGGATTCATTTACATTGGATCAGTATACTTCAAATATCCTTCCTCAGCCCATCTAAGCTCTTTCCAGAAAGGCATAAGAAGAGAGAAGGGAACACCAAATCCATGGCTTGGTCATCTACCAAAATGTGCCAGAGAAACTGCATACAGCCAGTGTTCTATTGGCAATACTTAGTCAATGGTCCTTTAATTCTGATACTAAGCAGCCTGTCCAGTGAACAACTAGTAGAAAATAGAAAACTAAAGCGAGAAGGTCAATATTTCCTTCAGGAGACTGGCAGCCAGACGAATGAATGTGACATCAAGCTCCAAACCAAACTGATGGCCTGCCAAGAAGTACTAATGTCCATCCGTTTCCAGGACTGTGAGACTTGGACCTGCCACGGTTGTAATATCACTTTCCATGAACCTATTTCATTAGTGTCCCTTGCATTCCACACTGAACATTACATGGCAAAATAGGATCCTCAGTAAAGAAACTTTGGGAAAGAGCCCATTGCTCAATATTTAAATCTCTGTTGCAAACACAGCCCTACTGAGTTGTACGTAGGCTAGGGACGGGTGATGCTGTGCTTTGTAATTAGCTGAGGTGATGAGGCCAGATGCCAGTTATGTATGAACTCAGAAAACGGAATGGGTCAGAGAGCCTCAGAAGTCCAGCCTCCCATGGCACAGCATAACTGCTGGGAAGCTCCAGACGAGGCCCACCAACCAGGCATGTGGTAGATGGCAGGGGCTGCCTTTCCTTGAGCTGGAGAATTAGGTAGTTTACAAAGTGAGGAGGCAGAACCTCAGAGTCCACAGCCCATCAGCTGAATGTTTGATTTCTTCTTGTTGTGAATGCAGTGTAGACAGAATCACTGCTTGGGCAGTGGTCCCTTCAACCAGGGCTTTGAACCAGTTCTGCCCCATTCAGTCATGGCCAATGAAGTGAGACTTGGACGGACCTGAATTTTTAAAATGTGGATGAAGCAGAATGATAACTGGAACGGTAAATATTATGGGTCGAAGCCCTGCTAGAAACTTAATCTCCCTCTTAGGAAACAAGGGCAGCATACACATTGCATAGCAACCAAATCTCTTGACTGGCAGAGTCGGAAACAACACCGCCCTGCTCAAAAATGGTAGCCAACCTTGCCACTTTGAATGTGTGTCACTCTCCACAGTCCCAGCATTAATCCAGTCTCCCCCATCAGGCTCCTGAAAAGGCTCACTGCACCTCTTCCAAGTCTCTCATTCCAAGGCTTCAACCTGTAATTTTTCCCATTCCAGTTATCATTCCACTTCACCCAAATTTTAAAAATTTGGATCTGTTCCAATTTCACTTCATCAGCCATGACTGAGCCTGTTCGAATCAGTTGGAAGCCCTGCCTTCAACCAAAACCACAAACCAGTGTCATCAGCAGCTGTGACAGCCCTAGAATCTCTTCATATATAGGGAGACAGTCAGGTTAGATTAGAGGACTTGAAGTGTGTTTACATAGCCTTTTATGTAAGATGGAGAAAACACCAATTGTCCTTATTAAAGAATGGAAGGAGTTTAGGAGGTGACTAAAGCCTAGATGCTACCCTGGGTCACAAGTGTCCCATTTAAATACAAACATCAATAGGAAAAATAGTATTTTTAATTTGTAATATAAGGAACCAGAAAAAATCTGGATCAATTAGGTTTCGGTCATTTAATTGTTCTAAGCAGCTCTAAGTTCTGGGAGCAGTTCTAAGCAGCTGCTCACTGCACTTACTTCATTATAGACTGTATTACACAGGTGATGCTTTAACAGTATGTGTTTTGCTCACCTAAATCTGGCAGTAGCCACACAAGAAGGATGTGGATCCTTCAGCATGGCAAAATAGCCTGGCTGTCAGCCATTGAAATTTCATGCTTTCCTGTCCTGAGGCCTCTCTCTCATTTCATTTAGTAACTATTTCTACATTTGGAAACAAAACTCAAGTATAGTTGAACCACCTGGTTGGAATTGGGGGAAGAGACATCCTGGCTTTCAGTTTGGGGGAAGGAGAAGAGAAATTACTTCTAAGAACCCACCCATAGGGGGTTCATTTGCTTTAAGAAACTCTATTTTTGAAATGAGCTACTTAGAAAGATAACATCTGAAAATTAATATTGTCTCTTCTTGAGCTGGCAAAGTCCCAAAGGAGGAGTGATGATTCTTCGATTGTTAACAATTACTACTTTGTTATAAAGAGACAAGGGGAGTGCAGTGGCGGCTTTCTCAAATTACACTTACATTACAGAAGCACACACACCTTCTAGAAAAAATGCCTGGCAACCCGGGCTGTCAGAACTGTACCTACCACTGCACCTTATAGCAGAGTTGTGCTGTCATAGTAATATCCAGTCACTTTGAGTGGAAGAATATCCTGTCTATTCTTGTGGTTTTGAACTGGGCAAGTAACCACTATATCTTTGCCTTACTCTGTACATCTTTGTATTTATCACTACAGGTTATCAATCTTTGTTCTGTGGTTTTCCATCCTGTAAACCAACACATCTTGCTGCTAGTTTCAGTGGGATGCTTGTTGTATAGCCACTTACCTTTGCTTTACCATCTTTATATCCCCAGGACACAATTGCTCCTAAAAGTTCTAAAGAAAGAAAACAAATGGCATGCTAAGCCATGCCTGCCTTTGGAAAAAGCAAGCCTTGCACATGGAAATATTTACAACTCTGCTTGCCTGATCTGTAGAGTTTGAATGGGGCCCCAAAGAGTGTAGGTGTGTAACTGCAGGGCTTGGAGAATGATGACTTGAAGTGTGTTGCCATGTTGGCATGATTAGCATTGATATTCATCCTTTGTTCTTTTAAATTATGATTATAAAGCAAAAGAAAAAGTAAAGAATCAGGTTCTCTTAACTGCTCAGAATGAAGAACATCACTGGTAAAACGATAGTCTTTTTTTACTTTTTTGTTCTCACCTTTCAAACATGCGACTATTTTCAGTTAGCACCATAAATATCAAGGGGCACTCTTCTCTTGAAACCTGAATCCAGGTTATCAAGGTATCTGATACCAGAGAGTAACAGCTTGAATGTGTAGAATGTCCCTGTAGCTACATCGATAAAACATAGCATGTATGGAAGGCCAGTAAATGGGATATAAGTTAGGAAGCTAACCTGCTTCTAAAATGATGAGGTGAAGAAAAATGTCACCTCATCAGAAGTTGCTATGGTAGTATTATTTGTTGTTTAGGTGGAAGAATCACTCTTTTTTTAATACCTGTTGAACTTAAAAGTGATTTTTGTGTCCTTTTTCCCCCTTCCATTCACTTCTAATTTGCTTTTCAGGGAAATTAAAACACGAGACAAACCCAAATGAAGATATTTTGGAATTTGACGAATATTTTTTTAATTTATTATGACTGAGCTACAAGTTTTATTAAGTGATGAATTGTTTGTAGTTATTAAATTAGATACTAGAATCTGGTATTTCTGAAACTGTAATACTTTTTAAAGAAATATGACTCTTCTCGGGCATTCTATTTGATATTTATTCATCCTTGTCTAACACTTTTTGCTGTTCTCCAATATAAATTGTCATGGTGCATCTTTATGCAGATGATTTGAGTTGTCCAGAGTAGCCCTTTTATTTAATTACAGCATTTTAGGGGATAATTAGCAAATCTAGTGGCTAAACAGCAATTCTGTTAGTCCATCACTGTAAAAATGGCGTGGTGGCGGCATCTGACCTCCTCTAACTTCCCTAGGGGGAAGGAGAATCAAGATCAACAGCCCAAAGCTGATTCCTATGAGGTGGAGGTCAGACATGCCTCCACCCTCCAACCTTTTTACCAATTCTGACACCAGCCATCCCTCCCATGGCACTCTCTGCTTCTCTGCTGGGTTCTATAATTTGTTGCAATGGCCACACAGAACTCATAGACAATACTCATGGTTATAGGGTTTATTAGGGAAGTAACAGGTTAGTTTAGGTTCAAGAATGCTCAGGATACAGTTCTTCAGTCAGTCCAGCCTCTTCTTAGCCATGCCTACAGGCACTCCTCTCTCTGACACTGGGCCTCTGTCCTGCTCAGTTACAAAGCTCTTTTAACTTTGCCTATAAGTGTCCAGAGACACCCCACTCCACCAGTAAGCCTTGGCCCGGAGGCACTCAGCTCTCTCATTCTGAGGGTCGGTAAGCTTTTCTCCGCCGCCAAGTGCCCAGAGACACTCCACTTCACCAGGAAGCCTCCTGCCCGAAAATGCTCACCTCTCTCTCCATGAATGGCACACCCACTGTAACCACCTTTTTCTGTGGGCCAGGAAGCCCCTCACTGTCTTCTGCCAGTCTCCCAGTTCTGTTGCCTCTTCTGCCGTCGTTTCTCTGCTGCTGCTTCTCGCCGTCTGTTGCTATCTCCAGTGTTCAAAATCTCTCTCTGTCTTCTGGGTCTAGGAAGTCTCAGCTCAGGGATCCCAAGTCCAGTGAGTGCCCTCTACTCCTATCTCTTCTATTTTGGTGGTAGTAGGTCCCCACCCACCAGCTCTGGGATTCACTGCTCTTTTAAGCCTAGCAGGATGGCAAAACTGACCAATCCCTTTGTTAGGTTTCCATATACCTTATTTGCATGATCCTACCCCCACAAGGGTGCCATGCACCTTATTTATATTATTAGCAAGCTATCCAATCCTTTTGGTGGGCCACAAGCACCTCATTTGCATAGTCCTTACCTAGTCATTTGGTGGGAATTACAAAGACTGTGACTGGAAGGGCTGTATTAAGTAATTCACTGCACCGCAATCACTATGACCAAGTCACCTATTGTCTCCTCATCAGTTGGCTTCCGTTGTTCTCCAGGCTAACAGCTCTGCCATACCCATGACTTGACCTTTCTCTGTGTGATCACTTCTCTCTCTGCTTGTTGTACTCATCTTTCAAAAGACAGAATCAGACTGTTTTCCATTCATGCATCCAGCGAAGTGCCACTGGTGGGCAGAGCTCTCTTGCACAGGCCTTGGCTGGCCTAAATGTAGGAGGCTGCTGCCTTCAAGACAGATGACAGCCTGAAACTAGTATAGCATGATTATGTGACACAAAGCTTCCAACTTATGCATTTCTGGCCATTTCCTTCAGATGGAATTGTGGCTAGGCAGGGGCTGCATGGACTTGTCATCTCCTGGAGAGGGTCTTAAAATATAAAACCACATACAATAAAATAAAAGGGAACATCAAGGCTGGAAAACAAGATAATTCAAATTTTTCAACTATATGGCCAAATGAAATTACTTGTAATTGAAGTTAAATTTGCTTCTGAGTCTTTTAACATCTGAGACAAAAAGGGAAACATGGTATTTTGTGTAGTATATAGTTCTCCTTATCAAAAAGGAAGAAACACTCTTTAGGAAAATAAAGCTTTTTCTTAGCTCTTACTTTATAGGAATTATTTCACGTACTTAATATAGAGAACACTGAATGAAGTAGTAGTGCCCTCAACAAGCTAACACAGCACGCATTTCACATGGAGTCTTTTTGGCATGACTACATGAAGGCAAAACATTACAGTGAAACTCCATGTAGACAGTTTTATGAGGGGCAAAACAAATACCGTCTAAGTTTCTTTGTGGTCCAACATAATCCAAGTACCCTTTGTTATTATTTAGAGGACTAGATGGATTGCATGTATCTGAGACAATCCTAAATACAACTTCTCTCAATTGAGTGCTTGGTGAGAGCTAGTTGTGTCTTTAGGCAAATGCCCTGATATCTGGTTTTCTATATTGCTAGTTGAAAAGATATCTGTATGGTTTGGAAAGCAGGCGGAA